CCATTAAAAGAGGGACTAGGAGATAAGTTTTAACACAAGGAAATAGCTTTCTAAATTCAAATAAAAATCATGTTTTCAACACATAAAATTTCAACATATTCTAGTCATATTTTAAATCATTCAGAATAATATATTTTAAATTTCAGATCAAAGAATATCAAAAAAGGATTTTAGATAACATATTCTAGTCTAACAAGATTTTAATCCAGATAAGATTAAAGATAAACTATAATACATAAAATATATCATATAAAACATATACATTTTTAACATATTTAATTCTACAATAAAAACCTTAATCATGGGTCAAAGAATATTATGAAAACTTTAACTGATTACTTTAATACAAAAAATTTGACATTTAAAGAATTGATACATATTTTTCAAAGTATAAAACTTTCAACATTTAAAGAATCAAAATAAAAGCTAAAACTTTTAAAAAAGGTAGGGAAACCTACCTCTTGTCAATAGGGTGTAACTCATCGTTCTCTTGTTAACAGGGTGTAACTCCTCGTTCCCCCCGCTGCCAGGCTCGACTAGATGAGGAACGAAGGAGAGAGATCCCTCCCCCTTAAATAGGAGGAGGTGAGCCTCTATTAAGGGAAATAAATTTTAATTTTCGTATTTATTTAATATAAATTATTTCCATTTAATATACTAACAAATATGATATCATCATATTTGGAATACTTAATAGTTACTTCCTTAATTCATATCAACAAACAAGGAAGTAGATTAAGATTTCCTAAATTATGATGGCAAGTAAGGAAAACAAAATTTAAATCACAATCTCAAATATTTGATTTGATTACATTGAGGGTACGACTGATCACACAGTAACCTACAACATCCTAGTTGCAGATGAGCATGAGAATGAGATCTGTGAGTCTGTGCTCATTAGCAGCCCAGCGAGCGGATGCAAGACTGCACTCCAGGGTTGTGAGAGGGCTCAAGTGTTCCTAACCCACAACAACGGTATCGCCTCAGACACGAGATACACAAACTCACTACGCTTCCTGAAGGACTCTTCCCTGCCAGTCTGTGCCCAACTTCTCCAACCTATGAGCAATCTGAAGTTTAAGGTAGAATACTACTTTACCTCTGGGCTCTTTGGTTCTATGTCCTAATGACTCCTATAATGTCCTGGCACTTTATTGGTTTTATGCGACATTCATCACGTGGTTTGTCGCTGCTTGTGGCTACTATCTGTTCCAAGTTTATTCAGCATGCTTTCGCTATCATCTTTGCTTTCTGATGGCTGATATGCTACTTGGTCATGGCATGTAATAGTTCAGTGTATCACTGTATCTATTAACTTGGTCTATAGTGGATTACTGATTTAATTAAGGGCAATTCCAAATGTCTCCAAGCTGTCCATTGTTTTATGCATACTTCTGTGTCATAATGCATTGGCTTGTGTCATCATGTGGTTTCACTTTGTCTTGCTCACCTTCTTCCACTCCTGGCAACCTCTTCACCTGGAACACCCTCATCAGATTCACCACTATGTAGTAGTGGTAGATATGGTGAATCTTGTAAGAGCATAAACTTCAGCAGGAGACAGTTTAAAACCAAGTGGAAGTAGCTCCTCTGAGTGAAGAAGTGATGAGATCATGTAGCATAAGTAATTGAGAGTTGATAACCTTTTTTTGGAGGAAATCAATGAATGCAATTCTGTAAACTTGTCACATAAAATTGATGAGGGTAGACATTTGAATTCTGGATCTCCTTGTGTGAAGGGGTCAAATGATCTTGATCAGAATTGCCTTATCTGAGATTTATGGATTAGGATGCAGAAAGGTAAGCTGCAGAAAGAAATATTTGAAGGAAGAGGATGCTTCTAAGTTCATCAGACCAAAAAAACAAAGAAAAAGAGGAAAAAAAGTATCATTCTTTCTACCTGCAGAAGAAACTGGGAGTGTAGAATTTTAGGATGATGGATTGCCAGCAACATCTGTCCTGTCATCTGGTTTTAGAGGATATATAGGTGACTCTTAAAGTCTAATGAAGAACTCTTTTTTGCTTGAGCCTCTTTGGCATCATGCTTCATCAATGGTGCATAATTTTGCAGCTCATATAACTTTGAGATCTGACAAATGGAGATGTCTCATTCTATGATGTCTGAAATAACTAATAGCAGTTGGAACTATTACTTCAATAGCTAACAGTATATGTGTTCATGGATCCAAAATCTCCATAATTTGGCTAATTGAAAGACATTTTATCTATGTGGGTGATTGTTACATGAGCCAATAAATTAGGTGAATTAGATAAGGATAAGTTTCTTGGATATTGTTTTATAATGTCTCTCTAATTGTTTTTCTTGTTTATCTTGTTCCAGAACACTCTATATGGTCCTTCCACAAGCATGATCACCTAATAATCATCCACTAAAAACTCCAACCTCAAACATCACCATCTTATGGACAGTCCACACTATACCTAATTTGAGCTTAATATGCATGATCACCTAAAAATAATGCCCTAAAAACCTCCAACCTCAAACATCAACATCCTATGAACAATTTATAGCCCACCCTAATTGAGCTCAAGACATGTCATTCCTTCCATTACACCTACTCTTCTTGTCCTTTTCACAAGCAGAAGGCTCTTATCTTGTAGTGAACCCAACCATGCTTGCCTTGTAATCTCCACAAAGCAAAGCCTTGTGGCTAGAAATAAACCAGATGACATCACCCCTGAGCCCACAGGAATATGCCCATATCCAAAGCCATTATTAATTACTGAGAGAACACACAACATTGAAACCCAAGAGGCTGTGATGCCAAGGGTCAAACTACCACTGAGCCAATCACCAGCTACCAGGTGTCCCCTCCACTGGCTACTGGGTACTTGGCATCTAGTCATTGGTTCATAGGGAAGAGCTATAGGCCTATATAAACTCTTCATTAGGCTCCTTCCCTGAGCAGAGAAAAAAGGACTCCAATTTTCAACTCCAACTTGGTGAGCTGAGAGATCCTCTGCAGGTTATCAAGGAGTAATATTCGATTTAGTTTCTCCTTTTTCAACTCCTGTTTTGATCTAGTTGTTGTCTCTCAAGGTGAGATAGAGAGGCCATTCTTTGGTCATTTTCTTGCAATAATTTCTGCAACAAGAGGTCTCCATTTCATCATAGAACAGAAATCCAGACCATTTGTTCTTGGGTTTCTGCTCTTCTACAGATTTCCTCAGTTCAGGGGCTTATTTTTCTCTGCCCTCAGTTTGGTTCTCAGTTCTCTGTTCTTCTGATATCGTAGTTTATTACACCTGCCCTGTTCCTTGCTTGGTTTTAGAACCAGTTGGATTTGTTCTTCTAGCTAATTTAGCTAAAGCTTCTTGTTTTTCTTCATAGAGAAGTCATGGCCACTGCTGTGGATATGCATAATACCATGCAAGTTTTCTCATCATCTTCATCAGATCCTTTGAGTGAAGCACTGGAAGCAATTCAAGGTGCTCCAAGTCCATACTTCCCCAGCTCTTCCCCTTCTGAGTCGTCTCCTTTCTCCTGTTACCTTCATCAAAATCCAATCTTTGATTCCTACTCTGGTTCCTTTTCGACAACAATCGACATGGCCGCAATGAGCTTCTTGAGCCGAATCCAAGACGACTATGCCCTCGGCCGACAAGCTCGAATCGGCCTCAATTACTTACCCGCTGTTCAATTCCAACATCCACTCTCGGCAGCTGCGGAGCAGCAGCAAATGGCTTACGCGGGCTTCCTTGGTCCCCGGCCGCAATCCATGAAGCGATCTGGCTGCTCCGCGTCGCCTCCGAAGCCCACCAAGCTCTACCGCGGTGTCCGGCAGCGCCACTGGGGGAAATGGGTCGCCGAGATCCGCCTCCCCCGGAACCGCACTCGCCTCTGGCTCGGGACCTTCGATACCGCAGAGGAAGCTGCCATGGCCTATGACCGTGCAGCATTCAAGCTCCGGGGCGACGCCGCGAGGCTCAACTTCCCGGAACTTAGAAGAAATGGAGCTCATTTCGGCGCACCGCTCCACTCCTCTGTTGACGCCAAGCTCCAAGCCATCTGCGAGAGCATGGTCAGTTCACAGAAACAGGGGAAGACTAGACCAAACGTGGCAGCAGCGAACGAAATCATCAGCTCAGGCTCAGAGGACAACAAATCCGAGAGTTCGTCTTCCCTCGAGGGAGACGAGACCTCCTCAGGAACAACAGCTGCCTCCCAAATCCAGTACTTGGACTTCACTGAGGCACCATGGGATGAATCAGAGAGCTTTAAGTTGCACAAGTATCCATCATGGGAGATCGACTGGGACTCTATTCTCTCTTCCGATCAGTAGTTCATGTCATGTTGTAATCCTTTAGCTTTCTTCAGGTTCTGCTCTGTTAGTGGGTGTCTCCGGTGGCTGCTGCAAATGGATTTTTAGGCATTGGCATGGCCACTATGTTGGTCTTAATAAGCTTGATGGTTCGAGTCTTGTGGATGTTGCTTGTAGTCGTTCTCCAGGTATGCTGATTTTTATAGGCATTACCAGGAGAAAGATTGTGTTCTTGCAAGTGCAATAGCCATTTCTGGTCCTGTAATTACAACAGCTTTATTTATATTATGATCATATTCTTATGTATGATTTGTTCTCTGTACATTCATTAAGAACATTTAAGTTAAAATTGCTTTCCCAACAGTTTATTTGCAATTGTCTTACTTAATTCTAATGTCATCAAAGATCTCATCATTCAGGTAGTGTGATGATACAAATCCATGAATACTGGATTGAAGCCTTCAGCAAGAAGAAATTGGATGCAATGTTTTGTGACTGGGGAGAGAAAGATGAACAGTATTATGATGAGAAAATCATTGAGCACAGATCTCAAATCTACTATCCTTGGAAAGAAAGCTTTGGTATGACTGCGGTTTCCACCTGTTGTAATGCCTTTTTCCTAAGAGAACAACTGAGGCTTCTTCTGGTCATGGCTTGAAAGCTTCTCCACATTCTTCATTTAGTGGGCACTACATAGGAAGAAGTGAATCATATATCTTGCCTTTTTGCTGCAGAATAATGCATCAAGTGGTGATACATGAGCTGGAAGACTGAGAGGCAAAAGATGCTACATTGCCTTCAAACTTCAGAGACAACTCAAATTGGTTCCAAGAACAAAGCTGCATACTCAAAACAACTTTACAACCATGAAACAGGTGTTCTTGCCTCATATCAAGTGAGAAAATATCACCTCAATACACACTGATTACATCAAATCTCATTCTAGCAGACAATAGATTCAGGCATGCCCTCTGCTGCTAGATTCTGGATATCTTGTACAAGAAGCCTGCAAGTGGGTCAGGTAATGATCCACCCCCATCTTGATCTGACACTAACCTGGTGGGTACTTTGCAGGATCAGATTGGGTTCTTGACATGATTAAACTTCTCGACCAATTCATTTGATGAGTGCCAATCAAGTTTCTTGCAGCAAGATCCTTCACTACTTTCTTTTCTCTTGTTAGTCTGCAGAAGTTGACGACCTATTGTTGATGACAGGAAATAACTGAAGTGGACAGTGAGCTTTGCATTGCATTCTTATGTGTGCTGAAGAAAGCCAGTTCTTCCATATGCTTTGGATGAAAAGAGGAAGAAGCATCTGGATTCCTCTTTGCTTGTCCTGTGAGGACTCCATTTTTACAGAGAAGGAAGCACAGTCCAAGCTGTCACCAATTGTTATTCCTAATCATCACAGTTGACCAAACCACTCACTTGCCACATACCACCAACTGTATCTTCTCTTTCCTTTCTTTAAACATCTTTAGACTTCTGATAAGACTTCAATATCATGGTCATGCTCTCAGGGGAGAGTTCTTGACCCAGCAACAAGACTGATCCATTGCAGTTGTCCTAGTGGTGAAAGCCTCCTGCAATACTCAGTCTCATTACTTTGTGAAGGCATCCAATCTTCATCTTCTATGTTGTTTCACAGGTCAGCTCCTGATCTCCATGCTTCCACCTCTGTTGCTTTCCAAAAGCAGTGGAAAGTAGCCATGTCTGAGTTGGTTGATATTGTCTCACAGGTCAGCAGAATGCATTCATTTCTGACATGAAGTGGGTTATCAAGGCCTGTTGACTTTTGCTGCCTTTTCAAGTTGTTCATCATTTTTCTATTTGTTTCTTAATTCATCAAAACCTATCAAAGAGTGATAGGATGCACATAGGAATGCTGTTTTTCAAAGGCTAATCAGCCAACCTTTGCAAAGTCAACCAAGTGGCATAGACACTCAAATACTTGCAACAATGCTCTCATTCTACTTCTGCCATATGGATGCTTGTCAATAGCCATGGCTTAATATTTTATGTAAGTTGACTTCTGCTTGCCATCACTTAACTTGTGGATAAGAAACTCCAACAAGCACTTCATGCGCAAATAAATATTAGATTACAGAGTAAGTGGAACAGAAGTGCCCATTATTGGTGTGAAAGGAATGGTGGTGGCTAATTGACTTGTGGAAGAACAGTGACATGATTGTTATGTCTCTGATGTTGTTTTTAAACAAGGAAAAAGAAATAATAATTATTATAATAACAAAAAATAATATTTCTAATTGCAGGGATAATCCTTTCACATCAATGTTTAGATGAGAATCTCATGTGTTAGACTTCATCTTAGATCAAATTAAAGATCTGTGACATGTTAACTTCATTAAATCTAACCATTAACATCCATCATATAAATTAATTTTAATTTTTATCACAATATAAAACTGAATTTAAACCTTCAAGTTGACTTTAGTATGTTTATTAGATTATTATAAGTCAATTCTATATTTGTCCACTCTCAATATGAGACTAAAATATATGTTCTATTTCTTTAAGATCATACAAGTCAACATGATGAATCATTATAAGGCCTTTTTGGGTCAACATGTAAGATCAAAATGGGCAAAAGACATGACATTGATTCATCAAAAATTGTGCACACCTGATTCCAGATTGGATCCATAATTCTATGACCATGTCAACTCCAATATTCATATAACACAACCTGGAACATCTGTTCTTTAATCAATCTCCTGTATAACTAATGTTGCATTCTTATTATTCATAAAATATGGAACTTGTTTGATATGAATGTTGCATTTTGCCTCTCATCCATCCATGATTATAGAGTACATAAGGTGATAAGATTTGAGGCCCAAAAGAAATAAGGCCTGTTTTATGGCCTAATATGCGGCCCATATAGGCCGGTTTAGGCTGGCTCGCCTAATGTGAACAAAAAGCCGAACCCCCTCGGCCCGGTTCACGTCCGGTTCATGTATGTAAGAAATATCGCAAACCCTAACGTGTCGATTAGGTTTCTTTCCGAGTATCGCGAAGCGGGCTCGATCGAGGGAGTCGGGGGAGAGAGAGCAGAGGAGCCATGAGGCCGATCTTGATGAAGGGCCATGAAAGGCCATTGACGTTCCTCAAGTACAACCGGGAGGGGGATCTGCTCTTCTCCTGCGCCAAGGATCACAACCCCACCGTCTGGTTCGCCGACAATGGCGAGAGGCTCGGCACTTACCGAGGCCACAACGGCGCCGTTTGGTGCTGCGACGTCTCCCGTGAGGGCTTTCTCTCTTTGATCTTTTATATTCTTTTTACTCTTTATTTTGGTTGACTTGAAGATTCGACCATTTTATTATGTTTAGCTGTTCTTCTTTGTTCCTATTGTAGTCAGTTTGTTGTTCTGTAAATCAAATTTCGTAAGAAAAATGGGTTCTTGATGGTCATATATCCACCTCCCCATATTCTGAAGATTTGTCTGTTTTACTTTCAATATTTATTCTGAATTCATATATGCTTGAGTGTTTTCTGGAAAAATTATTGATGCTGTGTGCACATGCCAGCTTTTCAGCTATCCTGATAAGGTGAGTAATAGATCACAGAGAAATTTGATGAGATTATATTCTCCATCAGAAGTACTACAAATTTATGTTATTTGTTTGCTTTATTGGAAGGGAAATGCCACATCATTCCGTACCAACCACAATAGTGAACATGCAGTTGCATTTTCAAGTCAGGAAAAATATGCCAGTAGTTTGTCTTTTGAAGACAATGAGGAACAGATATATCTTGGTGCACTTTGTGAAGTGTTTGTTGTTTATTGTTTGGAGATACATATATACTATGTGAATGCTTGTCTTAGTTTCTGTTCAAGACGTGGTCATAAAATTCTCTCTTCTTATATACTTTGATTGATTGGCTGATATTCTTTTGTTATATGTCTAGGGGACTCTATGCGCCTCATCACGGGCAGTGCAGATCAGAGCGTGAAACTATGGAATGTCCAGACAGGGGCCCAACTCTATTCTTTCAACTTTGATTCTCCAGCTAGATCTGTGGACTTCTCTGTTGGTGATAAGCTTGCCGTAATCACGACTGATCCATTTATGGGGTTGCCATCCACCATTCAAGTGAAACGAATTGCAAGAGATCCTAATGAACGTATGAACTGTCTAACATCATCTTGAACCTGAAATTATTGCACATTTTGAAAAAAAATTCTTTCCTTCTTTAGGTGCATAAATTTATAACATGTCATGTAACCTGAAGTAGACAACAAGAACAGGGAAAGAAATATAAAAATATATTATAAAAAAAGGAGGTATTATACATAGTATCTTCAAATACCAGGGGACTTTGTTCTTAGATTATGTATACTAATAGTTCACTAAAATTATGTGGTTCTTTTAGGCCGCCTATATATTACATGACATTGTAATTCTAAGATGATGTATGTTTAACCTATAAACAATGACTCTTCCATTGCGGCTTTACTATCTGACCGACTTAGTTTTTCCTTCGAACTTAAAGCTTTCTCAGCTAGATGTGTCGTTTAAAAGCCTTGACCAAGTAGTATTTTTTACATTTTTTTGAGTACATCATAATTGCTCATTAAACGTTGGTCAAGATAAACTGAAATGTGGCACTGTGGACAGAACAAAGAAAATTTTACACAAATCAGAAAAGTAAAGTCTATGATCAACTTACTTAACCATATCCTGATAGATTCAGATATAAATCTATAGCAATTAGCATCTCATGTTGCCCTTGTTTCTCATATATTTAGCATCACAGATGTTTATCATTTGTAAATACATTAAAACACCTTTATGTCAAATGGCATCGATTGTTCTGTTTGGTTTGCTGAAATATAGATGATGAAAACATAGATAATTAGGGTTCTTATATTTAAAACTCCTTATTTATTCTGCCAACTTTTATTATCCCTGGGATTACACCAGTTTTGCTGCTTGAATCAATGCCATGTTTACTGATCAATCAACCATCATTGAACTGAGGACTTGCCTCTTTTAGCTTTTCACATTAATTTTGGACTCTGGTTTACCACTTTCTGTGTTTGACTTGAAATTATCAATTATGATCTCTTTACAGCTATAACAGCTTCAGATGTTTATTTATCTTTGTGATTCCTGATATGCAGTTTGTTATATTTTCTTACAATAGTCAATTACTCACTTCTGCAAATTGGCTTGTTATGCAGAGAGTAGTGAGTCAGTCCTTACAATCAAGGGGCCTCAGGGGCGAATAAATAGGGCTATTTGGGGACCTCTAAACAAGACTATTATAAGTGCTGGTGAAGATGCAGTAGTCCGTGTGTGGGATACTGAGGTGGGTTGCATCATCCTTTCAGTAGGCCATTATTTTTATCACGTCTTTTGGATCCATTTATGAGTTCATGCATTTGTCTTCTTATACAAGATACCCTAGAAGTTATAATGTAACATATATTTGGGGTCCATTATATGGATCTTTGTCAATGTTGAAGTTTGTTTAGGGCAAATTGTCAAACTAAGAGCTGCCACTCATTTTCTTATTGTTTCCAATATTATTTTTCTTAGGTCTCCCGTTACCTTTAATGTCATGCCATTAATTCCAATTGGCTCACAGAATCCAACCAGGAATCTATAGATCTCTTTGGACTTGTTCATACCATCATAATTTTTTTTTTCTATTTTTATCTTCTAATAGAGTTACACTTAATTGTTCATGAATATATTCTGCTTCCTATATCAAGTAAAATTTAGTTAGCAGATGAGTATACTTTGGTCATATTTTTCTTGGCTAGAATTTCTTGTAGCAATGAATAGGAAGTTAGAATCTCACATGATTGTGCAATCTGGTAACTTGACTTGTTTTACACTGTGTGAAAAAAATAAATGTTTCCATAGTGTGGTGATCTTTGGAATCTCATCAATTTGGTTGCACGGAATGGGAAGTAGTCTTTACTTCTTCCGTATTGTGGGGCTGCTTATGAGAAACATTTTCTGTTTGGGCATCATTGATGCCTTGGGGCAGATCTTCAAAGAAATTTGGTGGCCCTTGTGAAGGATTGGGTGAGACAGCAAAGCATGGTCGGCAATCTTGACTCATGGATAGCTTGTTCTTTTGTTATCATCTGACTCAAGGAAGTCAATTTGGTAATCTCTGTCCACATGCATGGTATTATCCTAGAGACTTTAGTCAAGAAATAACAAATTAAAAGGTAAAAGCACATGCATGATTTGGACACATGCCTAAGAAATTTTGCCACCTCACTGATAACATCCATCTTATTCACTTTGGTATTTGTGTACTGCTTACTTGTATATTTATTGTTGCATTTGTCTGTAACTTTTACAGACCGGCCAGCTGTTGAAGGAATCTGACAAAGAAACTGGTCATCAGAAAACAGTTACCTCACTGTCAAAATCTGCTGATGGTTCCCACTTCTTGACAGGTTCCTTAGATAAATCTGCCAAGGTGTCAATTACTATCCTTAATGCTGCAATTCTGTATTCCACTAGATTCACTTCAATTTTCTTATTATTCTTCTCTTATTTCTTTTTTTTTTGTTCTATTTGTTTAGCTCTGGGATGCTAGAACTCTGACTCTTATCAAGACATACGTGACGGAGCGTCCAGTCAATGCTTGTGCGATATCTCCACTTCTTGATCATGTATGTAACTAATTTCTTTTCATTTTTTTGGGTTTCTTGATCATATATTGAACTGCGTTATGGATGGGCTTTTCATGAGCAACCAAAGCTTGGATGTAAATCATGATTTTGGAAGAAATAGCAGCCCCTATAGTAGTAGTAGAAGTTAGCCACCCCAAGTCTCAATGTACGAGGGTTGTCATCAATGCTGGGTTTGGGAGATTCAATGTTCCAGCATCACCATTGCAAGTAGAGAGACTATTTCTATAACTAGAACTCTAGTCACCCAAGTTGCAAATAATCTTCCTATGGTGCCAGGGCTCACCCTCACATACCATGTGTTCTGAAATCTTATCTGCACCTTTGATGAGTGCAGTGGCTAGTTATTATTTTGGTGCAGAAATAGAAGTTGACATCAGGTCTAAGTTAGTATTTGATCCTGTCTATAAGTTTCTCTATTTTGGTCTTGTTTAGGTGGTTATTGGGGGAGGCCAAGAGGCAGTACATGTCACAACCACTGATCGCCGTGCTGGAAAATTTGAGGCAAAATTCTTTCACAAGGTGATGTAGTTCTTTACTACAATGCCAATAATTTTTGTCCTGTACTAGTATTGAATGCTTGTGGTTGAGTTTGACTAAGGCTTTGCAAGTAGATTTATTTTCTAGTTGTTTCTGAAACAGATTCTTCAAGAAGAAATCGGGGGTGTGAAGGGACATTTTGGACCAATTAATGCTCTGGCTTTCAATCCTGATGGGAGAAGGTTTGTTTTCAAGCTTATGTTTCTTGTCTCAGGATCTATTTTTTATAATTTAAATTTTTCTTAGAAAGATCAAGAGGGCCAACATTAACTTCTTGATAGACATTGTTGCGACATGTAGCATTTGAAGGTTTGTTGGACTTATTTCTAATGACTTTCCTTGGTTTTTCTACTGTGATCCTTGCCTATATTGTTCACGCATGCATACAAGTGTATTCTTGTGCATGTACAAGGAACAAGGCATTGTTTCTTTCTCCTGGGTGTTGATTTTGTTCTTTTTCTGCTGATCTGGTTGTTCCAAACATTCATTTGGCAATCAGATATGTGATCTTGGTTTATCAGCAGAATATCATTTCATTTCTGTTTGTTCTTCCTCCTTGATTTCCCCATGTTTCAGATTTAAGATCTCTGGGATGAAATGATTGCACTATTTTACAGTATCTTTTAATATAGTTGAATGAGATATAATTCTAGATTTTATTGTGTGATGGTATCAGCAGTTTCTGCTGTGCAACAAAACCTCCTAGATTTTACAGTATCTTTCTTTTTTTGCTTCTACATGGTGTAAGGAAGTGTCAACATGAAGCATGTCGGCATCCAGTAGTCATTATTTATTTATTTGCAAGAATCTATTACTTCCTGGAATTGGATACTGATCCGGGCTCGTTATTTTTGCTTATCATTTAAATAGCTGCATTTTCCATACTTATATCTTTTACAATTCTGTTATTTTACATAGTTTCTCGAGTGGTGGCGAAGATGGTTACGTAAGACTGCATCATTTTGACCCAGATTACTTCACTATTAAGATGTGAGCAAGGAATATGTGGTACGCCGGTTCTATCTTGGTTTTAGAATCTGTGATATATATATATTTCACTGTTGTTGCATTGATCAATACGTTCTATTTTACAACCTGTGGGTTATGCAGCCTATTCCTGTCTTGTGGAGGAACTTTGAAGAACGAGGATTTTGTTGCTGGACCTCTATATCGTGTAGAAGGATATGGACATCCACATTTATTATGTGCAACTGCTCAATACTATAAACAGTTTCAAGAATGTTTTCGGGAATTACACCATTGTTTAATTTGCCCGCAGAACTTTTTATACAAGCATGCATTAACTCAACATCTCTATTATTCGCTGCTATGCATTGCCATATGGCAACTTACATATGCAACGCCATGCAAGATATCTGTTTCTGAGTTAAGCACACTCGGTTCTCTTTCATTTACGTGCCATCTTCTCATCATTGGTATCTGTCTCCTTCAACAACTCTCTCTATTGCTCAATCTTCTTTATTGTGATACTGTGTACGTTTCATCTCTTCAGCATTTTGATCTCTAGGTTTATAAAATTTATATTAAAATTTTATAATTATAAAAATAAAATATTTAATCTTATTTATTCTAATGTCATTGGTTTTGTTGAGGGCAGGGAAGATAAAAGTACGTGATAACATGGGAAGATAAAAAATAATTTTAATATTTCAGGTGAGAGGTGAGGCAAAAGTCTTGTGTTTCATTGATGTGGAGGAAGAGTAATATAAAAATAAGAGGTAAAATGATAATTTTAACGTCCCAGGAATATAAAAATAATGGGTAAAAAAATAATTTTAACGTCTCAAGCAAGACAACTGCATTGGTGTTGCTTTGTATCGGTGTCAACACAGATGTATAACGTTGACATATATCGCTTTTGCTCTACATCGTTTTGCATCTACATCAGCGCTAATGCAGATGCAGAGCAACGCTAACGTAAATGTAGAGCATCAGCATTTTATGGCTTCCGCTCTGCATCACCTTACATATGTGGCAATGCTGATACAAATGTAAAGCGACAAAAGGGAAAAGAAGGATGAGGGATCAGGTAAGGGGGGAATAAGGATGAGCATCGCTTTTGCATTTATATCGACACGACTATCGTCCTCATCCTCATCCTCTTCTCCCTTTGCCTCACCTTTTGCTATCGTTTTCCCACCTCTTCCTCCTCCCCTCACAAGAAGTCACAAAAGTATCTCAGCTTCATCTTCAAGACTTTACCTCGCTTATATCAAGGACATCTCTACGTTATTCTAATCGACCACTATCACAACAATCACTCACGGTCCTTGACGGCATCACCATCCGTCGATCATGAAGTTAAAATTAGAACATAACAAAGAAAACATAATTAGGATGTTGAAATCATTATTTTATCTTTCATTTTTTGTATTATTCCTACAAATACTATCGTGTTGTATTTCGTCGATAAAGCCAACTGATATTAGAGTAAATAAGATTGAATATTTTATTTTTATAATTATATACATTTTAACATAAATTTTTAAAATTTAAGAAATAAATTATTAAAAATATCTAACTGGTTAATATGTATTTAGCTTCAAACTGAGTGTTTGCAGAGAATCTCTCTCTCTCTCTCTCTTTCTCTCCCAGCTTTGCAGGGATAAACATGCAAATCCCGAAGAGCTATCGTCGGGCATCTGCGCTGCCCAATTCCATGGCATTCTTTGAACGCCTCCTGGTGGCAGCAGCCGCCCAAACGAAGCCTTCCCAAGTTATTCCCTGTTCCTTTCCCCCTCGCACCGCCCAAATCCACCACCTCCATTCGAGATCCAAAGAGAAAACGGAAGAAGAAGAGGAGGTGTTCGAAGGGGAGAGCATCGGGAATCGTTCGTATTGGAGGAAGAAGATCCACTCTCTCTGCGCCATCCATGGCGACGTCGACGAGGCCCTCCGTCTATTGGACCGCCTCCGCCTCCGTGGCTACCGCCCGGACTCCCTCAATCTCGCTAGCGTCGTCCACGCCCTCTGCGCCGCCGGCCGCTCGGAGGAGGCCCACCGCCGCCTCCTTCTCTCCGCCGCCGCTGGGTGGCTTCCTGACGACCGCACCGCCAACGTTCTTTTCGCCCGCCTCCTTGACGCCGGCACCCCGCTCTTGACTCTCCAGGTCTTCCGCTGCCTCACCGACACCAAGCCTGCCTTCGTGCCCTCCCTCACCAACTACAACCGCCTAATCGACCAGCTCTCCTCCCAATCCCAGCCTGTCGAAGCCCGCAGCCTCTTGCTCGACATGAGAAGCAAGGGCCGCCTGCCGAATGCTGTCTCCTACACCGCCCTCATCAATGGGTTTGCCCGGACCGGAGAATTGGATCATGCGCGACAGATGTTTGACGAAATGCTCGAAGCCGGCATTCCGCCCAATTCTCTCACTCACAGCGTCTTGATCAAGGCGGTCCTCAGGAAGAGGAGAGTCGACGAGGGGAGGGAGATGTTGGTGGAGCTTTGGAGGAAGATGCAAGATGAGCGTGAGCCATCAGTAAACGGTGCAGCATTCGCCAATTTGATCGACGCCTTGTGCCGAGAAGGGTTCTTTCACGAAGTTTTCAGGATCGCCGAGGAGATGCCGCAGGGGGACAGCGTCGACCAGTTGTTTGCTTACGGCCAAATGATGGATTCGCTTTGCAGGGCCGGGAAGTACCATGGAGCTTCAAGAATTGTGTACATAATGAGGAAGAGGGGGTTCATTCCTGGCATGGCTTCCTATAACCACATAGTGCATGGCCTGAGCAAAGAAAAGGGTTGCATGAGGGCTTACCAGTTGTTCAAGGAAGGGACCGAGTTTGGGTACTCACCTTCAGAATCTACTTACAAAGTGCTTGTGGAGGGCCTCTGCCGAGAAAAGGACATCAACAAGGCTCAGGATGTTGCAGAGTTCGTGCTACAAAGAGATGCTGTTGACAGAACGAGGATTTACAACATATTTCTGAGTGCTCTGCGCCTTGCGGACAACCCAAGTGAGCAATTAAACGTCCTTGTCTCGATGCTTCAGAAGCAATGCCAACCAGACGTTGTCACCCTTAACACCGTCATCCATGGTTTCTGCAAGATTGGCAAGGTTGACGAAGCTAAAAGGATCCTTGATGACATGTTGAATGGCAATTTCTCCGAGCCTGATGTGGTGACATTTACCACCATCATTCGCGGTTTAATGGATGTCGGGAGACCAGAAGAATCCCTCGATGTATTGCGCAACACAATGCCTGCGCACAAATGTGCTCCCAGTGTTGTGACATACAATGTGGTTCTTCAAGGATTAACCAAGCTCCGAAAGGTTGATGAAGCAATGAGACTATTCTATGACATGATCGATAAGGGTTTCGCCGCCGACAGCACAACTTACACTGTGGTGGTTGAAGGATTATGCAGTGTTGGTCGTCTTGCCGAGGCAAAGAGGATTTGGGATGACATTATCTGGCCATCGCAGATCCATGATCACTACGTTTATGGAGCTATCCTCAGAGGTCTTTGCTGCTCGGGGAAATTGGCTCAGGCCTGTGATTTCTTGTATGAATTGGTGGATTGTGGGGTTGCTCCTGGGATTGTGAACTACAACATCGTCATCGACTGTGCTTGCAGAATGGGATTGAAAAAGGAGGCTTATCAGATCGTGGGCGAGATGAGAAAGAACGGGGTGAGGCCAGATGCTGTAACTTGGAGGATTCTTGGTAAGTTGCACGAAGAAGGCGGCAAGGAATGCATCATTAGTAATCAGAACTCTGAATTGAATTGGATTGTAGATTTACCAGAAGAGTTCCACGAGAGTAAGATTGAAAGGGATGGAGACATGTTGGAAGGCTTAACGGATTCGTCCTTCTCCGGTGAACTGATTGAGGACGAGGTCAGTGAAGATGACAGAGTTGGAAAGAATGCTGACTTGATCGGAGATGCTGTCAATCTAGGACCGAAAGAACCCCTTTCGAGGATCGCGAGGAGAATTTTTGGATTGCTGTGAGACTGCAAGGGCTCTGGAGGACGTGAAGAGAGGGAAGATTGGGAGCCATCAAGATGGAATTGGCTGGAGGACGAAGAACAGGAGAGCAGTGACACTGAAGCCACAGGCTGATGACGCACATACCAATCACACACGAGAAGGATCGTGCTGCCATGGAGAACTCTCGTCATGGTGGCGGCGCCACTCGAACGTCAATGCCGTGGTCAGCATCATCGCCAGCCACCAGCAGTATGACCTCAAGGTGGGATGCGGCCATCGGCAGTGTGGGCTCTTGCGCGCGCGCGAGCTTAGCAGTTTGGTTTCTGTTGCGTATTTTGTTTGTGTTATTTTCTTCCTATTGCTGCATTTTTTTTAGCAGTACATTAGAGGAAGAATAGTTTTTCTTTTCTTTTTAAAAATAAAGAATACACCAATAAAGAATAAATGAGGAAAAATAGGAAATTATTCTTTAAGAAGTGGTTTTCTTGAGACATCCGAGCAAATTGATTGAAATTGGAAGCAATGGTAAAGCAAGAAAGAAAACTATGGATTTTGTACTAAAACTCCTAAAAATGTACATTTCCATCATGTCAAGGAAGAAAGCAAAACGTTCAGCTCAAAATGTACAATGGGGACACTTCCTTCCCGGATTCAGAAGTAGTTCAAATGACCTCCGCCCAACTAGACGCCTCCCTAATCCAATCTGCTCACGCTTTCCGTCATTCGATCCATGCGTTCGACTCGGTTCCTTGCTCGATCGCTTCTTCTTCCCCTTCGCATCTCTCCTCTCTTCTCTTTCTCCTTCTTTTGTTTCAGAAGCTCCACCATTGATGAACGGCGACGCCGGCGTCCCTCAGCTTCCCGTAGAGCGCGAGACACTCCCAGTATGCCCGCCGCCCGCTCCTCGTCGTCTCCTTCTCCTTCTTCTTCCTCTCGTCCTCTTCCCACAGCTGGTGATCGCACTGCAGGAAGAGCTCGTCCACCAGCCCGATCACCCCCTCCGCCACCGCTTCCTCCACCGCCCCCGCCTCCGCCTTCACCACCACGTACTCCTCTTCCCTCACGTTCCTCTCCAGCCATTCCGCCAGCGACTGTGACGCCCCCTCCTCTGGCTCCTCTTCATCCTCCTCCTCCACCTCCACCTCCACCCGGATCACCTCGAAGGCCCGGCCCTTCCTCGGGTAGTGCTGCTCGAACCACGCCGCGCCGCTGCCGGCCTCCCCCGCCGCTACCACCTCCACGAACACCCGCCGCGGGTACCCGTCCAGCTCGTCCCCCGTCAACTCCGGCAGGTATCTCGTCCTCCTCCGCCATCCGCGCCGGCCTGGCGGCTCCAGCAGCGCGCCTTCCAGCCCACTTAGGGCTTCCTTCTTCGCCTTCGGCACCGCCAGCAGCCGCCGCAGCCGAATCCCCCCTTCGCTGGCGAAGGACTTCGTCATTGCGACAACCACGGATGAGCCGATCTGCCTGACGTACGCCGTGCGGTAGTTCGCCGGCGACCGGAATGATTCTGACGGATCGGAACTCAATCGGACGGCCGCGACGCCGCCGATCTTCAGGATCTGGTCGATGCGATGGAAATCACCGGCAGAGACGGAGAACACGAAGTCCGCAGAGCTGTCCGGCACCGCGGTGTTGCGAACGCCGAGTGTTGGATCGTTGAGGATGACGACGTTGCTCTTGGGACGAAGGAGCCCGATGCGCCGCAGATCGCGGAGGAGCTCCGCGAAGAGCATGTACTCATCGTCGATGGCCCGCCGGCTGGCTGTGACCTCTCCGGCGTCGCCGCGGCGGAGGAGGGTGCCACGGAGCCACGGTAACGAGAGGATTGCGGCGGCGAGGAGCATCGACCGGGCAACCAGGCGGAGGAAGCGGGGGTCCGGTAGGCGGATCACGAGGCGGTCGCCGCCGAGCTCGACTCCGCCGCCGATGCCAAGGCGCCGGGTACCGCTCGGCTTCTTCATCGGGAAATGGAGACGCGATGACACGTACAAAAAAAGAAAGAGGGAGGAGCGGAGGGAGAGATGGAACGGCGATCAGCAGGGTGCGGAAGCGGGCAGCGGTGTGGTCACCACCCACGAGTTGGAAGACCTGCGTGCTTTGAGACTGGTGTCAGAGGATCATCCGCTGCTTGGATCGCCGGGATATTTTAATCATCCGCTTCCTGATGCGTGCGATCGGCTCAACGTCTCCACGATGTAATCCTTATTCTTCTCCGACACGAACACTCTGATGTATAAGACTTGGTCAATCGATTAATTGGGAAGCAGGTAAGGAAGAAGGAAGAGGGCGACCGAGGACGCGAGGCCGTAACACGCGAGGAGTGGAATGAGAGAGGCCCGTCCTCACATTTAGTGAAACAACATAATAAATAGTTATATTATATATAGAGAATGGTGTAGGAGTATTATTTTTAGGACACGCATAGGGAATTCTGTTAAGCCGATAGTGGCAGCTCGACGACGTAAACAAAGAAGAGTTGAAGGCGTGTCTAATTCGATAGTCTAATTTAGGAGGATAATTATAATTCATTTATTTTAATAAAAAATAAATAAAAAAGCCGAGAATAAGATTTCTGGCTTTATTTCCGTTTTTATGGTCCGTCCAAATATTTTACCGTACACCACCATCAGCATGATGGGTCCTTCTTCGGTCGAGTCGTGTGGGGCCAGCCGATGCGACCCTGCGCAAGCGCAACGCCGCACGTGCTTCCATCACGAGAAGCGTTAACTAGTTTTTAATTGATCCACCTAGGAGAAATTATTGAAGGGGCCCACAAGTAAATGCAAGCAAATAAGAAGCACGAGGAAGACAACACGACACGCCACTGTCCAATTCCTCCCAAGCCTATCGACTCGATCCCTTCTCTCTCGGCCCTCGTCGGCCATTATTTCTTGTAGGGCATTATGGAGGCAGGCATCTCCCCAGCCCCGGTGGCCCCTTCACCCATGCCGCCCCGCCCACGCGAGGCGGCTGCGGAGGTGGAGCAGGTCCGCGTCAGGAGGCGGGCCCTCGAGGTGGTTCTGGAAAATTGCAGGAGAGCCCTTGAATTGATCGAGAACGCCGACCTCGGGCCGGATACCGCGGCCGCCCCCAATTCGGAGGACGAGAACGACGTGGATGACGCGCCGACTCCGCTTCGAGAAGAGGAGAAGGAGCAGGAGGGATCGCCGCCGCAGTCTCATTCTGCGGTGGATACCGAGACTGATGAGGTAGGACTCGTCTGATTCTTGGTTGGATCTCAAATCTGATTCGTATTTGTTGGGATGGACGGTCGGGTCGAGGAATATTCATGTAATTTCTGCTTTTCTGGTTGAAAATTTTGCACCTTGATGTAGAAAATTCTTTATACTTCTATGATGATAAGCTTTTTTTCTCCGTAGGGATCGTGGGGAATTGTTTATATACGTGATCTCAGACGCCCATAGCTGGTCGCTGCAGATTCATGTTATTTAGAATTCATGTTTCCGCTGACGAATTTTAACTAGTTATCAGGAAACAAACTGGAAAATTATAATGTTGGGAGTCTTAGGTTTTATTGATTAAAATTCATACTCTAAGTGTTGTCGTCGAGGCCTAACACAGCATAGATTAGGTGGCTTCATGCTGTGACATATCCTCTTACCCTGCCCAGCTCTAATACTAATTATCACAACCCTAATGAGATAACTAGCCTGTTAACTTCAATGAGTCTAAACCATTTGTTTAAAATGCTAAAGCTGGAGTTAATAATAATATACCCATCAGATCCTTACAAGTCAATCATAGTCTTAGCGGGACTCAGTGATTTAAAAAGCGCTAGGCGCCAAAAGGCGCCAAGGTCCAAAAACGCCCGAGGCGCTAGGCGCTCGCCCAGGCGCTCGCCCGAGCGAAGTGAGGCGCTAAAATATTAAAATATATAATATAATTAAAAAATATAATTATTTAAAATTTTAAATAAAAATATGCTATTAAATTAAGAAAATCTAAGATACAAAATCACAATGTCACATTAACAAAAAGTTTCAAAATTCAAAACATTAAAATTTTACATCAAAGTCATTCATCATAATCAACATTATCGTCATTTTCACACAAATCATCTTCATTGAATTCGTCTTCTTCCTCTTGTTCTTCGATTCCTTCCTCTTCATTAAGATATGTTTCATTCTCTATGTCTTCAACAATAGCAGGAGCCGAGCTTGATGCTTTTGCACTCATTTTTCTCTTTGACATCTGTCTTGTATATGTTTGTAATTCTCCAGCACCTGAAGCTCTTGCCACGTCTCCCCACGTCAATCTATCATCTTCAAATACAAGCTCGTCTTCAGCATCTTGCAAGTTAGCACCCATTTCTCCTACTAACCACTCATTTGAATCATCAATATCTTGCAATGAGATTGAATCAAATCTATTTTTCAAATCATGACGAGTCTG